CGTGAAGAGAATATGGTTTGCTCCAAAGGAAATGAAGTTTTATCAACAAGAAGTACTGCTACATGTGCCATAGAAGTCTATGGTTATTGCAGGTGAGTAGTGGATCTAACGAAGTCTGAGCCAGTTCATGAGATGGAAGGTAACTTCGTCTACGGTAGAGACAGAGTTTGATTTGATGCATGAGGAGAAGGTCAACCAAGTCATGCAAGATATCAAAGGAGATGTCTTTGGAGGAGATGGTTTTGTGTGATCTTCAAGAAAGCAAAGACGAAGTCCTTGTGTGGAGATTATGCGAAATCCATCAGTTAAGAAAAAAAAGATGAAGATGGTAGAGGGGGATGTGAGTCAAATGAGAAAAGTGTAATAACCCAAGATGAAGTCAACAAAGGAGCTGGTGATAGCAAAACCTTAATCTTGGTGCTCCAACTTCCTCAAAAGTTGAAGCATCAAAGTATGGTATGTTGTAGTGCTAGTGCTCATGAAGTTGAACAAGATGGTTCCAAATTACATCTATAGGTGGGATTCCCAAGAAGATGGCTACCTAGAGTTGATTGGAAAATGCATCAATTAGCAACAAGGAGACGAGATTAGACGCAAACCATTATTCAACTTACCAAGAATGTTGATCTTCTAACAAAGCAAAAGGCGACGAAGGAGCAAAAAGAAAAGGAGGCAAAGATAACCTATTTAGAGAATTGTCACAACAAGAGAGTGGAGAGCAAGATTGTTAAACAAGAGATCGAGTGGTTGTAAGAGCTGAAGAGACGTTTGAATGAAGTCTATGTAAAAAGTGTGGTTGATTGAAGACTCTTGTGAGCATATATGCCAAGTATTTCCTTGCCATGTGCGATGAAGTGAAAGCATAGCAACTAGAGAAGCTCTCAAAGGCAATGCAAAAGATAGCAAGTATGGCTATAGCCAAACAAATATCTGATTATAGAGTTGGTGCCTCTACATCATATGATGAAGATGTTGTGGAGTACATGTGTGCAGAGGCACAACCATGTGCAGTTGCTATGACTCATAGTGCAACAAATAGTATTGAGTCAGGAGGAGCATAAGTGGAGTTGGATCCACAAAGAGGGGAGGTTAGCCAACAAGTTACACTTCCTCAATCTTTCACATTGTCTGAGGTATTGAACACCTCATTCATGGCTCCTAGACAACCTATTGGAGAGATGAGGGTGCAAGCCTATGTGGATATACTTGGAGATGGACCAAGTAGGGATCATCCATCAATATTGTCTAAGGTAGCATCTAATATTGGGGACGACAATGACTCTTGTTCATGCTCATGTTTTCCCAGCCAAGGATTTATTGGCGTTAGGGATGTCATCATCCCATGTATTACGATTGACAGCCACACTTTGTGAAAGCAAAGAGGATGTGTTGGTTGCTTCTAGTAGTGTGAGCACTAGTAGTGTTGATTCTGGGATCATGACAGCTACTAGTGGAACTTGGCAAGCTGCTACTGCTCGAATGATGGAGTTACCAACGAGGCCAATATACGAATGTATCAGGGTGTCATCAAGTTTGATGATGTTGGATAACAAGAGTGGTATCTTTTGTTTGGTCGGACTTTCAGAAAAGGTTTGTCGACCTCAACGCGTGTTGTTTAATTCCGGTGTCCAACCCCTTATGTTGGATAAGGATGCACTGTTTGGTCTTGATTTACGAAAGACGGATGTGGAGAGATATCCATTTCAGATTCAAACATCTCTCGGAGGTTCTAGTGATGTCCCAGCACCATTCATCATCCGGATGGAGTTCAATGTGCAAGTGCAACCAGATCATGTCACGGATAGCTCTACAACGCGAGCACATGTTGTGGTTACACTTGCAGAGTGCTATGATGTATTGGTGGGTACGCCAGTGTTATACTTGATGGGGTTTAGCATTGATTATTGGGATAAGACAACCTCTTATCGGCCAGGTTGGCAATCTGGCAAGGGTCGAGTGAGTCGATTACTTGTACGATTCATTACCGGTTCTAGGCCTTTACCAAGTGGAGGTTTGGCGTATGTTGCAGCCTTCAGTTCTTGTGTTACTTGGCCTTGTGATTTTTCAAAGGGTAACATGGATGCTCATGATAGTCATGGTCCAAAGGATATGACTATCATGCCAAGTCTTAGTGGAGTAGTGTCATCCACGTTGGATGGATCACTATGTACTTCATGTATTCAGCTACAACAAATGGCAGATCAGCTCATACATCAAGCTTGGAGTGAGTCTTTTGCTCCGGAGAGGGAGGAGATAAGGAAGTTATTCCCACTTCTACTATATTGTCACCTTTAGATACAACGCATATTTCTTGCTAGTATCCAGAGGAGGGTATATGTGTGTTGGATCTATCTGGAGTGATTAGTATAGGTTTGGCTGTTGTTTTGCAGTCTGGCATACGAGTTCATCGATACTTGTATGTGGAGATTACAAGGTGGGTCTCATTACGCCACGTGGCATAGTTGGTGCGAAGATACATAGATCTTCTATCATTGTTGACGGTTCAAGGATATCAACAGGCCTTACCATCAGATATTTCGGTTGTTTGGGGCACAAGACCTTGTTGAGCATGGCACCATACATTTGGTTATTTCTGGTAATGATCATATGCTACAGTATTCACGATCTGCAAGAGGCCATCAAGACACAGTCCAAATCATCATACATTTGGTTAGTGGCCATGTCAGGGACACACAGGTGCTAATAATCGTGGTGCGAAGATACATAGATCTTCTATCATTGTTGACGGTTCAAGGATATCAACAGGCCTTACCATCAGATATTTCTGTTGTTTGGGGCACAAGACCTTGCTGAGCATGGCACCATGCATTTGGTTATTTCTGGTAATGGTCATATGCTACAGTATTCACGATCTGCAAGAGGCCATCAAGACACAGTCCAAATCATCATACAAATCATCATACATCATACATTTGGTTAGTGGCCATGTCAGGGACACACAGGTGCTAATAATCGTCATGGGTTGCAAGAGGCCATCAAGACACAGTCCAAATCATCATACAAATCATCATACATCATACATTTGGTTAGTGGCCATGTCAGGGACACACAGGTGCTAATAATCGTCATGGGTTACAGGATTCACGATCTGCAAAAGGCCATCAAGACATAGTCCAAATCTCCGACTTAGTGATGTGTTTATCATTTTGCTAAGAGTTAGTCCAAATCTCCTACTTAGTGACCGTGTTTATCATTTTGCTAAGAGTTACTTATAGGTCAAGTTGGCCAGGCTTCCGAGAAGATGAGCGAAATGCACAACATGATCACATGCAAGGATCAGTGAAGGGTGAAAATTACAGATAAGTTTCACTCTGACTACATACTAAATCGTTTTCGAAGGACGGAGACAAGAAATAGCACACTTCATCATATCGTTGAAAATTTAACTCGGCAGTAACCATGCGTGTCGAGTAAGCTCATAGCTGAAATCACTGCAAATGAAGGAAGAAACACGTATTTTAGGAATCATGGAATTGTTGTCCACATCTAGATACTCTGCCCAAATAATTTTCTCCGTAATACTGAAGTGAGCGAGCCCGCGCGGTTAACGGGGAGGTGAAATTTTCAGTGCATCCGAAGACTTAGAGAAATACCACCTGCGTGTCAGAAGTGGGATTTGAACCCACGCCTCTCACGAGACCCGAACTTGAGTCGGGCGCCTTAGACCACTCGGCCATCCTGACCGAACTGAGAAGAGAGAGAGAGCAAGTTTTTTAATCATACGCATGCGGTCCGGAACCTTAAACTGGTGCCTTTGACCAACTCGGGCCTATCAACTTCATGGAAATTGTGAAGTCAATAAGAGAATTAAATTCTAAAAATTTGAACATTTGACCACTAACTTGGTTAAATAGAAACCACATTTTCCTAAAATTTTTGTTGCTCTATAGAGAGCACTAACCAGTGCAATCTATATTAAAAAAATCGTTTTAAATGATACTTTTTCCCTATATTCTTGTTATTTGTAGATCATTTCACCTTGATAGTACAAATATCTTAAATGCAATATGACATATTTCCTAGTGTGATGCTAGGGGATCTAACCCCATGTTACCCTTTTGGTTTCATACTTGTACCACTTGATCGGTCTTCCCAAACTATTTATTTTTTTTACTCTCTGCGGTACATTTTTTACAGTCCGGTACATTTTTTACAAAACATGAATGAAGGAGCAATCGACCCACCTCGGTGAGATTAGGCTTCCCTTGGGCGTACTCGGAATTTGATAACGTCGGCGAGAAGCGCATGGAAACAGGTGCATGGAGAAGTTCCTTCTTCTTTATCCGGAATGGTTCATACGAGTTCGGACCCTACCTAAAAAGGAACATGTAAAAGAAATTATGTTTGTTAACCAACCGTTCGAGCAAACGACTCACTACAAGTTTCATTCGCGGGAGTTTATACTGCGGAAATAGTCGAACACAGAGGTCGTCATTTTGTGACCAACAATTCATACGTTTCAATGACATTATGTCGCAACACTGAGCAAAAAAGAAACAGATTGAACAGACTAAAATAGATTAGCAAAGTGATTACTCTGTGAAGTTCTGTGAGTGAGTCTAGAACAAAGACTTAGAAAGCAAACATCATAAAGCGTTATCAGGCAGTTTAATTGTCGATAGTCTGAACCGACGCCTCTCACGAGACCCGACCATTAGATGGACGCCTTGAACCACTCGGCCATCCTGACAGGGGGTGTCCAAAGGAGTTCACAATTGGATCCGAGAGCACTCCTTTCAGAACATTAGTCTGGCGTCTTAGACCAACTCGGCCATATCAAATGGATGGCAGAAAACTGAATGGATTTTTAAAAATAATAGTGCCAACAACCGTTCGTAACGTGGGTTTGGTACAAATTTTGTTGGGCAAGCTATGTAAAAGCCCTCAGCGTAGAAAGTCTAGTCAATTGGCCTGCACATGAATATGATTGGCGGTACTGCCTGAAACTAGTCACTTTCGGACGACGGGAAGGTCAAGACACGTGGTCGGCAGGATTCGTACCTGCGCGGACTATGCCCGCATAATTTTTAGTCATGCCCGATAACAACTCCGGCACGACCACTCACTGATCTCTTGATTGCGCAGTTTTTACTCTATTACGCTAGCAACTCGTGAACCGAAACTCCCCGAACGGTGAGAAAGTGGGATTTGGCTAATTCCTAATCGCGCAATAAAGTCGACATGATTTCTTGTCCTGCCCGTAACATCTCCCATAAACGTTCGGTATACACCATCTCTCCTTTGAGAGAGATGGTGTATACTGGACTCCGGGATCCAACATGGATAATGTGGCAGCCTCAGTCCTTGCAATCAGTCCGCAGAATTAAGAACGAAATTTCCACACCGTGTACTACATGCACTGAGAGAGAAAGGACTGTAAGAGTTGTCTCAGATATGCAATCCGAGCCTCACAACCTCAATTCTGAACCAACCCCATATACTGGAAAACTGTGAAAGAAAGGAATCGGAGGAACAAAGAACTGCTTTCCCGCCTCATAATCAGTTTCGAAACTTGGCTTAACCCCTACACTAATTAATTATACAAGAGTATCAATTACGTCTCCCTCCGAGTATCTACGGCCGAAATGGAACATTTTCCGAAATATTCTCTCTACAATAACACCCTGACGTCGAAATACACCTTTCAAATCCTTTGTGCTTCTTGCGGAAATAAGTAGAACGACAATACAGTACAGGAGGCGAGTACTGTACAGTACAACGCTGTACCGTACAAGTTATACTGGTATCGAGAATCGAGATCCCAGGATTCCACACAGGACTAGCAGCAGCAATTCTAGCAAAATGCTGGTGAAACATTGTGCCACTTGTCACCATATAATATGGGAGACCCCATATTATAATCTTTAAGGATGAAATCAAAATATTAAGATGGGACCTGCCCAATAGATCTCAATGGAAAATATGTCTTATAACATCTAAGATATATTAACTATATATGTCCAATATAGAAAGTATATGAGCATATGAAAAAATATCGCGAAACAAGAGTGCTTTCCTATTGACTCCTTCACCTAGTGGTTTTTGTAGAGCAATGGACACATGTTGACAAAAAAAATTTATACAATAAGCTAAAGAGAGTAATACCCCATGTCACACTCTCTCACAAATATATCGAAGTCGGTGTCCATAACTCCAAAGCTAGAGGAACAAAGAGGTGACCTCTCTGCATACCTCTATACTTGGACAACTTGGCTAATGCCGCTCCACTCGCCGTGCATCCATGAGGATGGATAATCATCCCCTCCCATACACTGTCATGTGTAGTGTAGGATATGTAACCACAACGTATGCAACATTAACCTGGTCCTCCCGAACTATAACTTACCTAACATTGTGATGAGTAAACATCTAGGAACCAAATGAACTGCACATTTATGTCCTTATGTATAGGAAATTAAAACCTAGATTGTTTCTTTGATCAAGATTAGTATAATAATTTATCATAATTGTAAAATTCAATCATATGAGACCTTTCATCGTCTTAACACTTTACTTCCTAGAGTGCTTTTGACTCGGTCAAAAATATAGCAAAAGTGATGGGAATACTCATCAAGTTGTAAAGGGATGAAACAATCATGTAGGATGGGTCTAGGCCCAAATAGCATCACAATGGAAAATATGTCCTACCCCATCTAAGATATCATAACTATCTAGATTAAATATATTACATATTACTCTCCTCCGGATTGCATCAACCTATGATCTCTATAGAATAATGGTTACACAGTTTATTTTAAATAGACTACACAATATAATAAAGAAATTGATATCCATGTCATCATGTCTCTCGAACATATTGTCCTTCATAGCTCCATATAACTAAAAGACTAGTGGAATAAAATGGTAACCTCTCTACATACCCCTAAACTTGGAGACCTCACCGTCCATCCACAACTATGAGTAATCATTCCTCTATAATTATGTCTTCTTTTGGAGATACAATGAAATATTTCAATACATACCCATGAAACCCACTCCCCTTCCCATAATTTTTTTCAAGGTTGAATTGAGAAGACCCATACAAAATTGTATGGATAAATCCATAAATAGTTAGAAAAAATATTTTTTTTTCCAAATATTGATAATGATCAAAAGTTATGATTATGATATATAAAATATACAAGATGACATGTCAAGAACATCAAATATTTTACATGATTTCCTAATGGGATTTTGGTATAAGGGAGTTCCATGACTTATTGCTAATATAGTGTCAACTCACTCTAACATGAGTTTACATCAAAAATTAATATATTGCATCACATTATACAACCATACAACTCCACTTCTTGATCAAAGTCAAATTAATATGATGGTTCATGGCAAAAAAATTATTGAAATTATCATCATTTGATAACTTAATTTTATTGACTACACATATTATCAATGGTAATTTACAGTATTATTGATAGCAGATTTTTTCACATTTATTGCATCAATAAAGATAAAAAAATCATGATAATGGCATCAAATGTATCCGCAATGGAACGTAATATAAATCAACACATTTATGTTGATTGTCACATCTCTTGCCACATTTGCAGTCAAAATATGACTTGTCACATCTAATTGTTTGTCATCATGATCAAAAGTATGATTATTATAAAAAATTAAATGAATAGATTATTTTTTATATGATTAAAATCAAATGTAAAATTGGACTCAAATATAAAATTATCATTTATTTTTATTCATAATAATTTTTCTCTCCCTCTTATTGTTGAACCATCCTTATAAAATCAAAAATAATTAAGTAATTTTTCATAAAATCATATGAGGAGTGACTAAATATGAAAGGAACATAGATCAAATAAAATTTAAAAAAAATTGAAACATGTTTAATAATTTGAAAATAATCTCCATCAACTAAACCTTTAAGTCATGTCAATCAACATTGATTGAAATGATCAAACACATATATCAATGACATGATACATATAATGAACAAAAATTTGAAAAAATTAGATTGTTAACAGAAAAGAGTAAATTTTTCTATATGTTATGCACGGAATACGAATAACAAGAGTCATCTTTTGTTATACAAAACGAATTATGAACATAGTTTAATATATCTTCTTGAAATGCATTCACTATCTCAAAGCATCATATTCATGTCATATATCTTTTGATATTGTATTTTGAATCCAAGTAAATGAAATTTTATGATTTTATTTTTTTGGATTTCATAAATAAAAAAATGTATGGTTATTTCTTTGATGCATAACCATAAATTTTTGATTTTTTTCATTTCTACTAAATATAATTAAATTTTTAAAAAATCATGATAAATGTCTATCATAATTCATTGCAAAATGTGTAAAAAGTTATCCTCTACTCATGTAAATTTAAAATTTAAATTTAAAAATATTATATTTTAATTATTAAATCTATTAATTTTTTTAATATAAGATTTGAAAATAAAAATATATAATTCAAAAAATTATTTTAATAATGTCAATTTTTTATTAATATATACTAATATACCTAATATTTACTTTATTGTGCTTAGATTTTCACCTTGCAACTATGTATTATTGTATTCGTCAATAAAGTCTAAATGTATAATTTCAAACATAAAGTTTGGGTATCCTTGTAAACATCATAAACACTTATGACAAACTTAATAATAATCATGCTTTAAATTTAAATATTAATCATTTTTTAAAAATGATAATATTAATAAAATATTTTTATTATATTTTTTATAATAATATTATTTATTTATTTCATAAAATAATAATATTATTTACATGAAAATAATAAATTAAATTTATTTAATAGTATTTTGAGATAAACTCAAAATTTGAGGAAAGAAATGTTCAAATTTGAGATGTTTCAAAAATAATTATTAATTAAAAATGAGCAAATTATAAACCAATGCCTCCTTGGAATGGTGGCATGTTTTGAAAATTCGCTAATGAAGCAAGTGCAATCTATTAACCAACCACTACCTCTTAGTGAAATTATGTTTTGAAAATTCTCAAAAATAAAATGATTAAGAAGGAGCAATCTACTAATTAATTGCTTTGGTTTAGTGATTGTCGTGTTTTAAAAACTCTCAAAAATAAAATAATGTATCTCAAAAATTATCCAATTTAAAAAATATGCATAAAAAATCATATATATTTAAATAATAAATTTTTTATTTTTTTTGCATTAAAATATTTGAGTGAAAAATAAATGAAGTATTTGATGATCTTCATTATAATATTTTTATAAAATTATGGTCTATTCACCACTAATAAATCTTAAATTTTGAAATTTTATATACGTTAGCATAATATGAATATGTAAAACTATAAACATGTACTAATTTGAATACTATATAAAAAAATTGAATCATCTAGAATTACTCATTGCAAAGTAAAAATATGTTACTTTTTTGCAAGGATTCTTGAAGCATTATGATGAAATAAATACTCCATTAGGGTTTTATAAACATGCTTAAATTTGATATCATCTTTGTACTTTTTTGGCCTTCACAATTCTCTCTTCAAGATGTGTAGTATTTCAATTGATGCATCTACAAGTATGTCTTCCTCGTCATCTCTATTAAGTTTGAAAAAAAATTGAGATGCTTTATAACATCATATGTGTAATCCATTTCATGTAGTTCTACAATTAAGTGAAAATCATTTAAATGATTGACATCCATGTTGAGAGCTTTATCGTTTGTTGTTTTATTTTTTACGTTGAAAGATATTTTGAGGTAATCCAAGGAGAAATAAAAAGTCATTATTTTTTTTCTAACTCCACACAAACACAACATTTTATTATTTTAAATACTACAATCAATAGTTATTTTTGGATCAAAATTTAAATCTAAAATGTAATGAAAAGATGAAATAGCTTAATAACTATAATATCATATTTTATGTCTTTTAAATATGTTAAAAATTTTACAGTTTGAGAACATGATATTGTATATTGTGATGATGAATTTTTATTTATTATATAATAAATAATGTAAATAACACATAAAAAAGATAGATAAGAGTTTAATTTGCTCAAATTTTAATATTTTGCCAAATGCATATGATAA